ATTTCATACTAATAAACTATCGGCAAGAACAATATGGTTCAGTTAATGGAAATTGCAGTTCACTAGTTTTCACTAGTTTTTTGGGATCATCGGGTAAGTAATAGTGAGGTTAGACGCAGGGTATTAGGGAATGATGGTAAATCAGTTGGTGAGGTTGTGAATCTTCACCGACTGAGGTGGTCGGGCAACGTGTTACGTATGCCTGAACACAAATGACCGCGATGCACAATGCCGACTAGTGTTGGGGATGGTTAGAAGAAAGTTAGGGCGGTCAAACCAAAATGCGGCATCAGTGCTTGAAGTCAATAACTTCTAGTCTGATCCATGTTGGTAGATGAAGACTACTTGGTTGGAGTCCGCGTGACTATCGTAACCAATGGCTGGAAACTCTGGATGAAATGGCTCAGAATGGATCACAATGGCGTAAGTGCACACACTCTCTGTCTTCCCTTAAACTAAGAGATTAAAATCGCTTCATATACTTCTTTCTAATTCTTTCTTCCTGTATTATATCCTTATTGCAATTTTTCTTGTATATATTACCACCTCTGAATTAACTACTTTTATGAATCCGGTGTTCATCTTGTTGTGCTAATGAGGTATGGCAACTTGTACCGATGCATATATGTGCCTGGTCCTACGTTGTAGATGACTGACTGACTGACTGAAATCACTAGTTTATACTTTTATGAACTTATTCAAATTACATCATCACCAAAAAGCTGATTGTATGATTTTATAAATGAATATTATTCTGAAAAATAAAATGTTATTACTGAAATTATGAAATGTCTGATGATAGACCACTGTTGAAAACCCTGGATGACCTTTTCGTCATAGTATGGAACTTTTCAGCAGTGTGTGTCCACAATCCAGCATACGGGATTCGAATCCAGAACTGATGTGAATAAACGATCGTTCAGTGCTCCAAAGTTTTCAATATTAGTCTAGTATTGTTCGGTTCATAGTTCCAGTGAAATTTAATAATCTTTAAAACCTAAAACTGAGAATAATGTTAGTTAAACCCCAGGGGTTTAAGGAAAACATAGCAAACTCAACTGATTATGACAGATCATTTCACTATGCAGTCATACCCTTGCTATACATTTGATGTATTGAAAAATAAAAGATATTTCCTAACATGTACCATGTTATTAACTTATGAAATATTGTGGATTTTCTTATATTTTCAGTATTACTGAAAAATATCCTTTAATAAATGTCGATATGTTTTCACAACATAAAATGCACTTGCGGAAAACTTTACTTAAACGGTATCAGAAAATAAACTTGAAATCACAAAATCTGAAAAAATGCTACTAACTCACAACTTAATCAAAAAGTATTCTACAAAAATGTTACTATATTAGTTCACTACATTGCGATGCAACCTATTCGAAACTAAAATAAAAGATCAAATATAAATGTATCAAATGAGATTTCGTGCTACCTTTACTTTTCTGATAAACAATCATTTCAGTTCCAAGTAAAATGTTTATGATCAAAATTTAATGTCACACTAAAAAGTTAAAATATCTTACGTATATGACCATTTGTTGGGCTGTCTAATGAAAGGCCTACAAAAACTTACTGTGATGGAGGAATTTAGTGATTGTCTCTCTATCTCTTTCTCTCTCTGTATACACATATATGTATGTACATAAATGTAAACCTTTCCAATTACGAGAAACTAACCATTTTTATCCAATGCATTACTAATAACAAGACTTGGATGAGAGATATCTTTAAATAGACAGTAAATGAGTTCGCCGTTATTGGTTTATGTTGTCGAAACAGTTTAGATCTAAACAAAAGACATTTTGGATTTCTTTTGATTTATATACTGTCAGTATTACTCTATAATGGTACTAAAGATTCATCCTTATAAACTTAAAATATGTCAGTTAATTTATTAAACACTCACTGAAATATTTATGCATGAAATTACTTTTAACATTTTATATTGAAGCTTAAAATTTGCTTTCCAAAACCTAATCAGTTAAGAGTTGTAGTGCAAATTAATCAAAAGTATTAACCTTTACGCTAGCAGATCCCGCCAATCCATAGTAGATAGAATATTCCAAAGAAATAACTTGAATATATATAATCAGATAGATTTCAGAATATAGATAACCTTGCAAAACTATATAAACAATAGAGTTAAAAATATAATCTACGTAATAAAATGAACTGTAAACTTAGATATTGAAGTGGTTATTTATCAACACTTTTGATTGTGATTGTGAATTCTTAATGTCCCTTTTTTCCTCTTCCCAAATTTATTTCACTAGACTATACTCCTTGAATAACATCTTCAAACCCTAACCTTTCCGATTACTGCTTATACTTTTACTACCTCTACCACTATGGGATTTGAATGTGGTATGGCAACTCGGACTGATGTACGTACGTAAGAAGTCCTATGTTGTTACTGACTGACTGACATCACTTTTGATTAGTATAACCTCACATGATAAAATAGAATTTAAGATTGGTTAAATCATAGTTCTAATCAAGAAATGATATAAAACATTGAGTAACAGAAATGAGAAAATTATTTAACTATAATTGAATCATGAATAATAATAATAATAATAATAATAATAATAATAATATAACTCCAAAGACGATGAATTAACTTTTTATAACAAATGGAACTTAGATAACCGACCATTTTTTGATAGAAGACCAAGAGAGACTTAAATCAGATGACGACAAAGAATATCAATATTATAAGCGTAGCATAATTAATGAAATTTAAATAAATAGGAATGTTGGCAATTATAATGATATCGTGAAAACAACGACAAAGTATATGCAGTAAACTAAATCAAATAACCTAGTTTATATGAATATCAATGGAGAAATGATACATAACCCGTCATTAACTCATACACCGGACTCATCTCTAAGGTATTTGTAGAGATTTGGGTTAAACATATACAGTAACATCAGAGAATAGATTGTTAAATTTTGCTCTGCACTATTACTTATTAACCACCAGATGTAAAATTAATGATTATCATTTTTTTTAAACATAGTTGAGCTATAAAGATGTACATAGTACATGATTAATTAACATTACCACACATATAGATTTGTAAATAAATGAGTGGACAAATGATAAGATTAAATATAAACAAGTTTTAACTTGCTTATTAGTGAAAGATACAATTTTAAACCAGATGATACTTGAAGCAACAATCTTATGTCTGTACTTGATTTATCTGAAATGTATCATCTAGATGTATTTTAAACCGTAACACAAGTTATAAGTATGTATTTATTATAAGGAGAATATATTTTAATATCTTACCCAGTATAAATAGCTTTCTTCATGATTGTAAATTAGACAATGTTGTTTTACTTTGGTTTGATATAAACAGAGACAATTGTATGTTACCATACAATCATGGAGGCTCATGAAACTTCATTTTATTAAAACCATTTTAGTAATAATCCTTATTATTATTTGTAAACGAAAAACAACATCATACACACAGTTCCCTTGGAAAGAACAATAACTGTTCATTAGTGACTTCTATATTCATATTCAACTATTAATTGCCAGTGGAATTTAACATAACCTTATTCAGCGAAACCAAGCTAGACACTAATTAATATCAAAAAATATCAACATCATGTTTTATCGATTATACGAATAGAAATATGGACAAAGTTTTAATCATCAGCAAGTATTATTATTTTTTGCTTAGCTTGATTAAGTTAATTTAGTCCTAACATGATTTCGTTTATCAGCTTGAGCTGAGATTTCCAATTAACGGTAGCACAAGTTTTATTTGATTCACTGATCAGATTCTTCCTGAAAACCTTTTGTTTTTCTGTATAGTCAAAATTATTTATTTTCAACAATATTAGTCTGACTTCATAGGTGTCACCCTTGTATTTAATATCCAGGGTTCGAATAGCATAAAAGTAAACAAGTATTTATATTGTATTAGAAAACTGTTCGATGGAATAATTTGAAAATGATCATAATAGCTAATGAACACATTAAACCACCTAGTATATTATGATGATGTGATATGTGTAAAGTATGAGTTTCAATACTTAGTGTATGAACAAACTGATTGCTTGGTTTTTTTCCATAAAGGTTTCCTAATTCTAACCCAGGTTTAAAAAATTTCAATACTTATCCTCTATGCATCAAAAGCGGTCATAAAAAGTAAAACTTGTATCAGTGACTAGACTTTAAGCTTCTATTATGCCATAGTGACTTTACAAGTTGATAGACTTCAGTGTTTTAGAAACCGACTGACTAGAATGCTTGTATTTACTATCGTACTCCAAGTATATTTTATTCTATTGAAATGATCAGGATTCGATGAAAATAACTGTAAAATTCTCTATATAATCATCACTTTAATTAAAAATCATCCGATAACTTATGATAGATTTTCTGACGTTTTAGTTGAAAGACATAATCTACGATAACCAACTCAAAAGTGGTAAAGTAACTAGTAACATTAGATGAGGATTGTGCTAGATCATAACTTGATTGAAGAAAAACTTTGAAACACTGGACTTCAACTCATTAGTTCAAATGTTTTGGACTTGTGAAACTTAAAGTTTATGGATTCACTTTCTAGCGAAGTTAAAACCTTACTACTCAGAAATTTTAAAGTAAAAAAAAACAGCTAATTAATGCCCGTTGTTTGTTTATTTTGAAATCTCAGGATGATATCGATTTCTGACAGAAATTATCTTCGAATTGTTTAGAACCTACATTTGTTTTAATATATCGTTTAATTTGATCAGTTAGATGATCAACTAAATAAAGGCTTATATAATGAATTATTATTAAATATGGTTTAATAGTACAATTTATTAATCTACAATCAAGCATAATAGATTAAAGGTCCTTATATCTATTCTGTAACAGAATCTTTACATTAATCTGATATTTACATATTTCAATAGTTTCAATAATATTAATAATAATGGATATAAAAGAAGAAAATACTTTGTTTTAAACGTACTGATAAATTTGAAATCCATCAATGTAAGCTCTAATGGGTTAATGAATTTTTTCGGCATTTCACAAGTACCATATTGTTTCCCATCGGAACCGATTATAGTTGGTAAAATATTCCTCAACAGAGTTGCTGCAAGATAGTAAGTTATAGTAACATAGATAATAGGTTTGTAACTAAAGATATTCCATTATAAAATCATTTAAACTGGGAAATTAAGTTAACAAATTCCCTGAAAACTTTATTATTAAATAGTGAAATCTCGACAGAAATTAATTTCACACAAGAGTTCCCAAGTATTTTAAACCAGAAGTCAAGACAATTCTAAAGACGACCAACTGTTTGTCAAACAGTTGATGTTAGACACTATCACCATTGGATGCCGGCTCAGTGATCCAGTAGGTTAAGCGTTCACGCGCGAGACCGAAGGCCCTGGGTTCGAACCCCGCGAACAGGATTGTGGATGCGCACTACTGAGGATTCCCACAATAGAACAAAAAACGTCCGTCCAGTGCTTCCAGGTTTCCGAAGGTGGTCTAACATCAATCGGTTCATGATCTCAATCAAAAAGTTTAAACTCATTTCAGCAAATTAATGGGACTAAAAGTGTTTAGTTCAAACATGTTTATCATCGTGGGTGTATATTACTAAGATATCTCAAACCAAGGATCCCTGATTATCAATGATTCTCTTTCTTGATGAGATCTGTTTTCAAAACAAATAAATTATTTCGTATAATTAACTTTTAACATTCTTATCGGATAAATTTAATTCATACCTTTCAAAATTTAACTGAGTTATAAAGAATACTTTTAAAATATCATTTCAATATGTTAATTGAAGTCATGCTGATAGAGGTTCCTACTAATATTAACCTCATGAGACATTGTGTAACTTGTTTAGACAAACAAATGACATAATCATCATCCATTGGGATATATGCAGTCTGTTGCACGACATTTTCATCAGATGTCACCATGAAAGTGATGTGTGGGTGAGGATGGTAGTGATTGGTTATTTGCTTAGTCAGACTAGTAGATGGTCTAACAGGCGTTGAATAAGTTATATATTCTCCTATCCTTATTATTGTGATTGTTGTCGGTTTTTTGGTGTGGAAATATATTTAAGTTCTAGTCAGGTTAATTACGTGTTCTTGATCTGAGTTGTGTTGAAGTCCTGTAGAATAGACACTGGGAGGGGATCTAGTATAGATATCCGTCTAAGGTAAATTAACGTCCCATTCGTGTAGACGTAGAAAACCGAGTGTTACGACAGAAACAATAGTATTTAATTATCACCAGACGATGAAAATGACTTTCAAATGAATAAACTTCTCATAAACAACCTGAATGACTTAAAATATTCTTAGTTATAAATGAATCGCTTCAACCTTAATCCCTTGAAATTTCTGTTGAAAATTTTGATTTATGAGATGATATGACGGGATCAAAAGACAAATTACATTTCATTACTCAATATGAATTTTTGGTTCAACATTACTTCCATTCTTAATTCAATATGATAACTACTCAGTGAAGTATTTGTGCTTGTTTTCCAAGTGTGATATTTTATTCGGTATAACATTAATTTGTTTCAGTGTGCTGTTTTATTGAAGACAAGATATTCTTGTATTAAATTAAAACGAACTATGTTCAGCATGATACGCAGTATGTGATTTATTATAACTCTGGTTATCTTTCATGTATGTGATTTTATCCTAATTATTGATCAAAATAGGTGTACAAATCAATATATAAATGAGTGCATTTTCTACTAGAGTTGTTGTGGTATTTAGTTTGTAGTGAATAAATTTCCACTTGCATCAGTCTTCCATGTTCATAGTTCGCGTCATGGGAATTGTAGTAATGAGATAAACCATAGTAAGACAAAACACGAATACTAACCGACAATATTGTACAGCAGTTATACAATATTCTTATTTAACAAAAGGAGAAAAATAATAAACAACTGAATTGTAAACCACTTTTACTCAATAGTTTTACTCCGTCTACTTGACTTGAAGTCTTTGAACTTGGGTCATATAAGAAGTATTATTTTGAAGTTGTAAAGGAAAAGTAATCACGTGTTTAGGCTCTTTTTTTACCTATTCTCCAACTGATACTAGATCTTGGGGACCGCCTACATAATTATTAAAAGTAAGATAGATAAGTAGAATATTTACTTCGTTATTTCCATTCATTGAATATAATGCAATAAATTGTTTTATCACGTCCTCAATAAAGTGCAAATAATCAATCAACTTACTTTGATTAGTGTATGACGCTTCACGAATTTGATCAGTTAAATAAAGTAATCTATGACCGTTAGTTGTTTCATATGGTAGTTGTAAGATTAAGCTTAGATTAGTAAGAGTTATCCATCCTTGATTTTCGATAAGAAACGTATGTTCAATTCGTGGTCCAATATCATACGAAAATATTTTACGTGATATTGTGTCTAGAAAACAATAAGACATGTTGTTTATTGTCATTAAATAATGTAAACAGTTTGTTTTTGGAGATTATGTTGAGTTTTAGTAAAACAGTGTAAAATAAAACAAAATGAAAATGTATAGTTCTCGGCCTAGGACAATATAAAAAAACCGTCTTTCATGCTTAGCATCATATTAACCATTAAAGTTAGGCTTTCCAAAGTTACATAGTAGACAGAAATGAACACAAGAAACAGCACAATGATTATTAGTTAAACATTTTTAATAGCTTTCATCGTTACATAAATATATCAAGCGATTCGGTGCAATCAGAAGCATCTGGTATCTTTTCACGTTATTACTTACTAACAGTACGTATCTCCGGTCAAAAAGGAATCAGTATACATTGTATACTCCAATGTCTCAGTCAAATTGTTACCACATAGCTATTCGCGGTGATTACGGGACCAAATCACTTAAACTTGTGACCATGTTGCAACTTGGTAGATCAGAACTAGATGCTAAATAAAAATGACAATGATCATCATTATTCAGTCATTAGTTGGTTTCAATTTCTCAATCCTAAAGTATGACCGTCAAGGTTCGATCATAATAATTAAAAAAGATTTGATTACCAACATTCAAAATAAAATAAAGCCGAGTTCATAAAAATGGAGTTATACTTCATGACGCTTAAAGAGATGAATACACTCCTTAATAATATTTACTTCATTATTAAAAGGGTTTTTATATATTTTGTCACTTGCAGTAAAGGAAAAATAAAGCTAAATATTTGATTGGTTAAGTATCATGAGTTATTCAGTTAGATTTTTCCTTCTTGTCTTTCATACTTAACAGAAGCTACAGGAAATTACAATCCTAATCTTGTGTTGAAAAGAGATTTCCAATAGCTAAATCTTTTCATAGTTAGAAAAGATTTAGTAAACAGACAGCTTTCAACTCAGCTGTTTCTTAAATCTAGACTTCGCTTAATTTGTCATCCTATCTGATCTTAATTGTACAATCTACGTCATTGTATAATTCCTCTTGATTGATTAAATATCTTCAGATTAAATTTATTTCTACATTTTTTGACTGAGGCAAAAACAAAATCTAACTGAAAATTCTGTTGGTCACCATAAAAATTTGTCTGACTTGAACATAAGTATTTATGCAATGAGATTTAGATTTTTTCATTATCACAGAAGTAATGATTATACTTAAATTATAATTAATAAAATTTCAGTAGTTGAGATCATGAGACAATTGAAGCTAGACCACCATGGAAAACCTGCAAGCACTGGGTGGCCGTCTCGTCCCATTGTGGGACTCTTCAGCAGTGCGCATCCACGATTCCGCTTCGTGAGATTCGAACCGGCTCAGTGGTCTAGTTGCTAAGCGCTCGCGCGCGAGACTGATAGGTCCTGAGTTTGAATCTCACGAGGCGAGATTGGGGATGCGCACGGCTGAAGAGTCTCACAGTAAGATTAAACGGCCGTCCAAGGGTTCCAGGTTTTCCATGGTGGTTCAGCTTCAATTAACTCATGATCTCAACTATTTAAATTACTACAATCTATGCTCCATTAGGAGTAACAGGCGTAAGTAAGTAAGTAAGTAACAATCTCCACAAAACCCCTTCTGATACTAATTAACAGAATGCCAAAAAGTATTCAAACTTAAATGAGATGCTTATTTAAAGACGTTTTAACCAAATTATTATAAGTTTATCAATATTTGAAACGATAAGGTATTGATTACGTTTTAATTAATGTAACAGCTGTCGATTATTATAATTCCTCTGTTAACTTGGACAAAACAAAGTACATCTAAACATTTTATTGTGAATGAGATTACTTCTTCAGTACAATTAAAAAATTTAATAGTTGGATTCATGAGTCGATTAAAGCTAGAACACCTTGGGAAACCTGGAAGCACTGGATGGCTGTTTCGTTCGAGTGTGGGACTCCACAGCAATACGCATCTACAATCCCATTCGCGGGATTCGAACTTAGAACTACAATCTCCACAAAACCTCTTTTTGACAAGTAGATAAGTTTTGTCCTAAAGTATAACTAAACTGAATATTATAAACACTAGTGCTAATGAACATTCACAAAAAAGCGTATTCTTACTTTGTTCAATGACATAAGGCTCCAACCTGTCATCAATTATAGTTGATGGTTGTATACCCGCAAAAATATTCACCACTGGTTTATACAGAATTCTATATGATATACTTACTAAATTGTTTTCTTTTTGTTTATCATTTGTTTCTGATGTTACTTGAATTTCAAATTTTGGCGGATATTTATAATTCATATTTGAATAACTAAATGACATAGTATCACTTTTCAATTTTTGACCTGTTGATAGAGTCGGCAATGACAACAGACCTTGAATAAACACATATATATCAATTTGTATGATTTCATTGGGATAAATCCATAAATATGGAGATAATGAAACTAGTGCAAATAAACCATTTTCATCTATATTAATAGTCCATATTTTTGAGTCTGTTAAATTAATGAGATTTATTGAACTTGTTTCATTTTTTGATAACTTCTTAATATTTATCTGAGTGATTTTACCTTGAATACCGTTAGTTAAAGTCAGGTTTTCATCATCTACTAGGTACCAATTATAAAAACGAGTCAAAATATGAAGTCCAGTTGACTTAGTTGGACCCAAATTAATTAATTTCAATCGAATCACTTGTTGTTGTTCATTTGGATGTCCATATTCTATAATTTTTATAAGCGATTTATTAACTACAGTCAATGAATTTTTATAACTTTGCGTACTCATCACTGAATGTATTGGACTCCAACTTATGTTCTTAAAACTCAAATCGGAACTGCATTCATTCGCTGGAATGCAAACTGGTTGGGCCAGTTGTATTAACTGAGAACATTCAGACCAATCAATTAAAGGGTGTTCTTGTTTATTACATTTCTTAAGGTTTTGCATAAAATTGCATTCAGTCAAATTTAATTCAGATTTATATGAGATTTTCAATGGTATACTATTTAAATTCATTTCTTCTAATCCGTACATTGCTATTAAATGAAATTTTATTAATATATATGACTGTGATGAATCCAAGTGTATATTACTTATTTTATCTCCTAGTTGAAATCGAGGTTTTAATTTATTGAGTTGAATAGTGAACATATCGAATGTTGATAACTCAACGCTTTGTTTTATTAACAAATCAGATGAGAAAAGTTGAGTGGTACCGTTTGAATGTAAATAGTCATTCCATAGTACATCTGGATTCACTTGATGATGACGTATTTTAGTAGAAATTAATCCTTCAGGAATGTTAATATATTGTCTCAAATGTAGGTCATACAGGCGTACATTTATTTCAAATGGTATTTTTGTCCCCTTTTGAAGTGTAACATTGAATATAATGGTGGAATATTTACTCGACATTGTGATTTCAATAATTTAGGCATTGTAAATAAATATGGTACAGTATTTAGTTTAAGCGAAGTAACAGCGAATTCTGGCCAACCATCTCCATCAGCATCAAAACCTCTTGATAGCCCGAATCCAAAACCATCACCAATTTCTGGATTAGGAGATTCTATTATCTAGAAAGTACCAAAAAAGCAGTCTACGTCATTCCTGAAGAAAAGTTATATAAAGAATATGGTTTAAACCTAAATCCTCATGAATTCGTCAACAGATTAATATATGCTTTACTAACAACCATAAGTTAAAATTACAGTGACTCATAAAAATTTTTATTATTTATCACCAAAAGTTGAACAAAACATGTTTTACTATCCAGTGTCAGGGCGATGTGCTCAACTTAGTCCTACAATAAATTATTCATTACCCAAACTCTTTGAATAAGAGATTCGAATACATTGATTTAAACCTCAAGTTGAATAGATAGACATTTGTTTTATGTCCTGATGTGTTTATAGAGCGTTTGAAAATGGAATTATAATCATCCATTTACAACAAAATCAACCTATTACAAAGTAAATCACTTCATAGGTCATTTATACCTTACATTCATCAGAAGTAATCGTTAATAATTAAAAAAACGGTGATTTCTTACAAGATAAAGCTTCAGGAATTTATAAACTGAAATGAAATTGTCATAATATTTCTGAATTGTAAATTTATATGGGTTTTTACCTGTAAAGGTTGTAGATCTAGTGTACACTGTGATGTAACTCGATAAATATAAACACGACCACTATATAATGAAATATTTAAATTTCCACTAGGTAATTCCATATTCTTTGATTGTATTGCTGGAGCACTAATAGCCACATCATCAATCCCATCTCCGTCAATATCACCTAGACGAGCTATGGAATATCCAAAAAACTCATTTTTTCGAGTCCCTTCTACGAAAAATAAGCCAGTTTTATGGGTAATACGTTTTTCTGGACATACGATATACACCCTTCCATGATTAGGATTGTATTGTTTCGTAGAACTATCAAAGGGGGCTCCAATTAAAATACCATAATTAGTTCGTGAACCACTCTTATCCTTTGAGTGTTGAGGAATATTTACTGTTTCTATAGTGAAACCGAAGCCAGTAAAATCACCAGATGATTCGGTGTTGCTCCGGTTTTTACTTATGATACTGTAAACCAACAAACCTTCTGGTTCTGTAGACTTGGGGTTAAAAGCTTTTATATTTGGTCCGTAGGGATCGCCTAGTGAAGAAACTATAGCTAGGTTTTCATGCATCCATAAATCGCCTCCCGAAATTGATTTATTATCTTCTAACTTGACATAATGTTTCCAAGACTTGGAAAGTGGTGTCCATCTAACTTGTTGACTAAATTGTACATGATTACCTAGAATTCTGTGAACCGTAAATTCATCTTGCTGTTGATCAGGAATGTTTTTAAAATTCATTAATATGTCATCTAGAATGTGTACTTCACCTGGATTGGCTAAAAATAAACTGGCAAGAAGTCGAATATTTGGTAACTGTGAGTTGAGATGATCATAGTAATTTTGATAACTACGAGGAGTTGTATCAATATTTGTTGTTTGTTGTAAATCGAATGAAAATCCTCCACCACATGGTTGTGAATAACCAGAGTTAGTACAAAATTGAATGATGTCTTCCATTTGGTTTGTTTTCCTTTGATGTGACCATTGACCATTGTGTCTTAAACGAATATGGCATCTACCACCAGCTTGTTCTTGATATTTCATGTCCACTACAGACTGACTTCTATATTTCTTTTCACCAGTGTGCCAAAGAGGATCACAATAAACAATAACTGCTCCACTAATGGGTTTTTTGAACTCAAGACTACCAAGGCTCACTCCTAAAAGGGTAGTGCCATCATGATGTTTTGAATCATGCTCGTTTTTCTTGATTTGATATGTTTTTAACTTCCATTGGAGAACATTCATCTAAATGTAGCCATAATCCATACTTAGGTTTGTAAGTTAATCGACAAGCAATAACCCCGACTGCTTTCTTTGTAAATGGATTCACTGAACTTAAATTTATCCTATCGATTGATCCACCAAAAATTAACCATACTACACGAGTGTTATTAACAATTTCTTTAAATCCTGTCACCGTAGTCCAATGAAACAAATTATACTCATTGGGGAAATTTGGCTTTAAAATTTTGTCAACAGAATTTTTCAATTCTTGACTTATATTCGTTACTGTAAATTGTCTGAAAATAGGTTGTTCCAAAAAGCTGTATGACAAAACTAGTGTGAAGTAATAAAATCCATATAAACAAAAGCAGAGAAATCTCAAATTCCGTATAAAGTAAATATTCCAAATGGACATTCTGTAGAGTAAGTTACTTGTTATTCATATATTTCATGATGGACAAACTCATATAAATGTAACTGTTGGATAAACGTATACTGAGCCCAGTGATTGAAAAAACTATCCTCCTAACTAATGATTCAGTCGCAGAGCTTACGATGTCGTTTAACAGATAGACTTGATAAATAAGGAATGATAATGAATCCCTACCCATCCAATACACTTTCGATTGGTCAAGGTCGTTAATTATTATTGGTGTTGCCATAAGAAGACCCCTTTGATTTATAATGAGCCCACGTAATTGTTTAATGTGGTTAACACACACACAATAATATTTTTATTGTAATTTTCAGTCATTTTATGTTTTGACGTGAATATTCAGCTTCAGTAGCTTGTTGAACTATCAAAAATAAAATCTCCATAAGAAGCAATGAGAAATTAGATTTTCAGTAGATACCAGAAAATGAAATCTGTTGATTAAAGGCAGTGGTTAATAAATTATAGATATGGGCACTAGGATTATCTTTACTTAACAATTAGAAAAAATATCTCACACACTTAAGCCAGTTACCCCTCGAAGAGGAGTATAGACTGCCCACCAGCATTCAACAACCAATTCTTTTGATGGAGTTTTGTCCTCTGAGCTCCACAAAATCATCCACCTGAGCTACAAATCTTCTCCACCATCTCAACAAACAGTCCTATCCTGAACACTCCTCCCAATTTATTTCCGATTCCTATTCATTATTTTCATGTGTGCCTCCGATTCCCAACACAACATGATCGTTCGTCACTTTCTTTCCCTTCACCTTCACAACTCCATGTTAGCAATTACCACATGATGCAGTTTGATAATTTATGTAATATATATCCCATCCACTCTCAGCGTCTGTCCACAATCTCCTCTTCAGCTCGAAGCCGCTTTGTTCTCTCCCACAGTACGTTGTTTATACCAGTATCCAGTAAACCGACATTGAGCATCTTGTGTAGACAACTGTTTATAAATGCTTGTACCTATTTGACGATAGTTGCAGTAGTTCTCCACGTCTCAGCTCATACACTACAACTGTCTTGGCATTCGTATTGAAGATCCTGACTTCGATATTGGTTGACAGTACCCTAGTTTCGCCAACCTATACTTTCATATCTGCATCCGATCCTACTTGTTCATCGTTGGTGCTGACCAGGTACATGAAAGTTTCCACACCTCAGAGCTTCTCCATCAAGTGTGATTGATTTGGTTGGTGTTCTCCATGTTGTATTTGAGGATGTTGGTTTATGCCATGTGTATGTTGGGACCTACCGCTACAGAGACTGCTGCTGCATTAGTTGTATTCATCTGCATTCGTTGGTGTGTATGAGATGGAAGAGCTAGGCAATCTGTGAAGTTCAAATCGTCTAGTTGCATCCAACCTACCCATTGTATTCCATTTTCCACCCCCCACCCACCCACATGTGGAGGTGTTCATAATACAGCCAACCAACAGAAGATAGAGAAAAGGTGAGACTAAGTAGACTTGTCTGACTCCGGTCCTCCCTTCGAATGCATTTTTTGGCTGTCCTCCATGCACGATTTTTCAGTATAGTCTGTCGTATGAATTCCGTATGACGTTGACGATTTTCTCAATCAGATTATAATGTCGAAGACAGTTCCATAATGCTCTATTACATACACTATCGAACGCATTCTCGGAGTCAAGGAAGTTGCTATATAGTGATGAGTTCCATTCAATAGATTGTTCAACAATGACCTGTAGTATGTCAAGGTTGTATTTGATAGTTTCAAATAAATTGAGTATTGGGTAGAAAGTTAGTAATAAATATTGTTTTTGTCATGTCACAATGAGTAGAAAAATTGTATTTGTGGATTCGATTAATAATTTACTCTGAATAAGTGGCTTACATTAATTCACGAAACGTCAGAAATACAATTCTTCCACTCATTAGGATATAAAAATATATATATTTGTAATTTTATGGTCTACTTTGTTATTATTAATACCTTAATAATATACCTAATCCTAAGATTGTGTTTCAGCTGGTATATTGTCAGGTCATTCTGCTTTCCCGCTCTTAGTTTGTCTGATGACCATCCTGATTTCTTCCGTCGTTGGTGGAGTTATATCTATAGCGAGGTCTGTACGTGCTACTTCGATATCTGTGGATTCAGTGATGCTGATCTATTCAACGGTTCTTCAAAGTGTTCCACCCATCTGTTTATCTGTTCTTGAATTTCAGTGATTGGCTTGCTTTTGTCCTTGACTGATCTCTCCGGTTTACTGTAGTTTCGGTTGCTATTCTAAGCCCACATAGCTTTCGGACGGGTCAGTTTATTCATTCTTTTCAAAGTACATTTTGATCTTGTTAATTATTCGCTTATCAACCTTGACTGTTTTTATATGGGCGTGTGTGTATTTTTTATCCTGTTCATCACATGTCTGTAACTTGTTTTTGTTCGACTATAAATATCCATTGACTCTTGGTTAAATCGAGTTAGCTCATCCGTCTTCTCCACCGCACATCATTTCACTTCGCTCTCTTCTCTGCGCTTCGTCCCTCTGATTGTCTGTACAAATCAATGAGTATAAAAAATATACTCATTCAAACCCCGTTCTCGTATTCGGCTTATTTAGTTCCGTTATTCACTAACGTGGATCAAGTCGATAATTATATACGAGGATTGACGATGTGTGTATTTCAATAACAATCATTCATCCGATCTTACTAAAGTCAAATATTCCAGGGCCACAAAATTACTATATTTCTCTGCTGTTATTTTCGTTGTGTCACATATTCGTCTCATATTTCCTTCTCTTGCAGGTTTTTCCACTGTCGTTCCTAGCTCTTCTACGTATTTCTGCTTGTAATCTCTAATGCTCTCCACTTCGCTTGATCGTATTCAACTTGTACCTTGAGTTTCTTTGTTCTCGTTCGGCTGTTGTTAATTGCTGTCTTCCTGAATCGTGTGCAGGTTTTCGATATAGATCAATTCCTTATGACGATGCTTGTTGGGGCTCAGAACCTCCTGGCACATTGAAGTCAGTGTTTCTTTGATCATTTTCCAGTTGTCCTTCATGGTAGTTTCATTTTTTTCAGTAGATATTGTAAGGCTTGAAATTTGTCGTTGAGAGCTATCTTAAATTCGTTGAGTTCCCCAGTATCTTGAAGGAGGGCCATATTGAACCTTGGTACTACTGTTTTCCCAGTTTTCCAGTGTTCCTTTAGCTCAAATTTCATCTTGGCAACCACCAGGTGGTGACCTGAAGCTATGTCAACTCCTCTGCTAGTTCTCACATCTTGCGTTGATCTGAAATTTTTAGTGATACACATATGAATGTGATCCGGTGAGACCCATGGAGCTTTGTACATGTGTTTGTGGAGGAATGTAGTGCCACATATAACCATTTCGCTGAATGTCCAACAATTTGCAAATCTCTCACCGTCACTAACCCTAGATGTGCTGCAGGCGGAGCTTGAAAAAATATATAAAGCCTAATTAATACTTGTATAATTGGTTTGGTCTGACATTGTTATGGTTATCAATAACTATTTACCTTCAAGTAGAATCTATTAGTTTGCAAGTTTACTTTCATAATCTGGGAAAATTTACAAGAATAAGATACATTTAGTGCCGAAAAAAGTTATCTTAATTTGTGCGAACAGCTTATACATGTGAGTAAAGATTTTAGTCAATCATTCATCTGCAACATAGAACCAGACACATATATGCATCGGTCCAGGTTCCCATAACTCATTAGCACAACTAGATGAACACCAAAGTCATAGAAGTAGTTACTTCAACGGTAGTAATATATAGAAGAAAGATTGCGTATAACGATATGATACGGGGAGAAAGAATTAGTCCGTAGAAAGGAAGATATAATGTAATTTTAATCTCACAGATTAAGTGAAGACAGGGAGTGTATACACCTACACCATTGTA